TCCAATGTCTGTCCTGCTCAATCCTTCACTCTACCAAACCTGTTTTTCCCAAGATCACCAATGGACTCTACTTGACGAGTCCAGTGGTTTCTTTTGTGGCCTTATCAACTTCATGAACCACTTAACACTGTGTGTGTGTGTGTGTGTGTGTGTCTGTCTGTCTGTCTGTCTGTCTGTCTCCACTCTCTCTATACAAACCTCCACTTCTCTATATATAGTCATCTCATCCACTAGATTTAGATTCCATCTCTTTGATAATGGCTCCTGAACTTTTATCTCTTGCCTGACGATTGGGCTTTTTTGACACTGGGTACTACATCAGACTGTGTACTTGGTGAACATCTCCACTTCAAGTCTAAGAGCCATCTCAAACTTAGTGGTACCCAAATGGAAATATCAGCTGAGGCAGGAGGATCTCAAGTTCAAACCAGCCTCAGAAACTTAGTGAGGCCCTAAGCAATTTAGCAAGACCCTGTCTCAAAATAAAAAATTAAAAAGGGCTGAGGATGTAGCTCAGTCGTTAAGTGCCCTGGGTTCAATCCCTGGTACCAAAAAGAAAAAAAGAAAAGAAAAATCTTGCTTGTGTTCGCTCTCCCAATCTTCCCCATCTCAGCAAGAGAACCACCATCTACCCAAATGCTCAAGCCAGAAATGTCATTTACCCTACATTCCTTCTCCCCATACCCTCAAATCCAATGTCAAGTCTGTCCATTCTGCCTCCAATGGACACTTCCACTATGAACTTTCAATGGCTTCCCATTATGCTATAAAAGAAATCCAAACCTTTTCAAGGCCCACAGAGGGCTGCATGATTATCTCACGATGTCCTCTCTCCCACCCCCTTGTCTTTATGCCTCTTTTAGCCCCCCCACCCCATGCCCCCTATAAAAGCCAAAATTATTCTGAATAGGCCCTCCTTTGCCTAGCTCCATGGGTCTTCTCCCACCCCCACTCCTAAGAGAGAGCTTTGCACGCTACTCTGTTGAAGTAATTGTTCCTTGTGGTCTTCACCAGAGCACTTATCACAAATTGCAATGTATATTTCTTTACATGCTTGCTCCGGACTGAAGTGTGGGGGTGGGCAGAGAGATGACTATATCTCAGTTATCAACAGATTCCCAGACCCTTAATATAGTGCCTAGCAAATAGTAGGTGCTCAATAAGTTCCTACTGAATGTATAAATCAATAAACCACGGTTTCTTGAGGCATGAAAAGGACTATTACCTCATCCTATAGGCCCAGAATTATCACTGCCATTTAAGCACACAGATTCTTTATTCTCTTCCTCCATTATTAAAAAAAAATTAAGGTTGATATACCAACAGCCCAAATAGCTCAATATATCCCACCTCATTCCTAGCTTACTGTCCTCCATGAGGGGAAAAAAAAAACTTTATTTCTTCCATAAACCCAAGTTACTACAAGTAGTAACTACAAGTTACTACTCTGAGAATTTAAAATTCTTAGATAATACCTGCAAGGCCTTTGTTGTGCATTTTCTTTAACCCAGAAGAAATGATTTACTGAGAGCTGTGGGGTAACTAATGCTATGAAGATTATTCTATTCATTAAAAATGCCACAACACCCTCATCAAAAAGCATGCCAGTAATTGCAATCTAAGCTGCTATCATCTCCCTCTCCTCGTAAAAGAAATCAACTATGTTTTAGATTCTCCTTTATTTCATTGGTTTCCCTCCTAGGTCAAAATCCAGAAATATGGTTAATCCACAAGATCCTAGCAGATTCCAATCTTCTCTGCCCTCTCAGTCACAGGTTTCATGAGGTCAGAAGAAAAATGAGATGAATCCAACTGTCCTTGGAGCAGCCTAGGGTCTGGGCCAATCATCTGAATCCTTACTTTTCATATCAGTGTTCAAAGTTAATAAAAATAGAACTTTTCCCCAAAATGTCCATTGTTAAATATACAGTGACAAATATCATTATCAAACACTATCACAACTATTCAACCAAATCCCAATTACCCACATGTGAACTCTCCACAAAAGGTGGGCAAGGCCACACTGGCCTTTTGGGTCCTTCTTTCCTCCCCAAAGCTACCTGCTGCCTGGGAATAACAGCTCAATTAACCTTAGACTTGACTAAGCATTAGACCAGTGAGCCAGCTGGCTGGAGGGGAAACTTCTAAGATGAACTAAAATTACTTTTGATGCCAGGATTACATGCCCCCTCTCTATCAGCATGCATAATTGGGAATTTTTTTGTCCAAGACAGGAACAGACTTTCATAAGTAACTGCTTGAATAGGATAGTCAAGATTCTCAGGCCGCTCAAGTGCCTATTTGGAATGCTAAGGTACAAATCCACTTTCTCCATGAGAAGACAAAAACAGAAGTTAATCAACTCACCCAAGTCCATGAAGCAATTTGGCCATTGGCCCAGGAAGACACTGGAGATCTCCGGGACCTCTCTCCACAAGACAGAACTTCAGAGCCAGAAGGGAGCTCACGGATCCAACCATGCATTTTTAAGACAAAAAATCTGAAGCCCAGAAATGGATAGAAATTGGTACCCTCCCCATTTTTCTTTCTGGTGACAGTTTCCCCCTGCCTTGAGCATCAAACTGTCTTAAAAGTTCTTTGTCGCTTTATAAATACTGTAAACCTGGGCCAACTACCGAATGCGAAACAATTTTAACACTTCCTTCCTAATCAACTTTATGGAGAATCATTATACTTTCCCCCAAACCAATGCTCTGATTATTATGACCAACCCATCCATCAAAAAAGAAGGAAAAGGAAATTATAAATAAGCTTTGTTTTTGTGACCACACATTTTATTACATAAGCAGCAAAGAACACTACACTCAGACTCTTCTTTCCAATTTAAGCTTCTAACTCAACAAAAACCACAAGCCCAAGTGGGTTAAAGGAGGCAAAACTGAGTACTTTCTACACAATTCACAGAACAACTGTTTTCACAGCAAGCTCACATAAACGCTATGTGATATTAACACATGCCTGCTATGTGGAAGCCTGCTTACCAAGCTGTGAAAAGACCCATGTTCACCATGAAACCTGCAAAATTAATCTTCTCAATGCTGATAAAGCATAAGGGACACACTCTTTTTGAGATGTCAAGCTGGCTTCTAACAATCCATTGGCAAAAATGGACATGCCTAAAAGGGCGGGGCCCAAAGAGGTGTGTCACTCTGGGTATCAATTCCTATAAATCAAATCCTGACAATCACCACAATATTTTAAAAAGAATGACTTATGATTCATGGGCCTTCAAACATTTATTACCACAAGAACATTCTCAGTAGAAGAGAAAAAAAGCAACTGTGACTTGATTAATGGCTAAAGCAAGACAATAAAACAAATCTCATAAATATAAGGAAAGAAAACTGAATGAGTAGTCTTGGCTTTGAGGTTGGGCATGTAAATAATTCCACCCAGCAATAAACACACATAAAGATTTTGTTTACCCTCCCACCATATACATTAACTAGACTCAAGATTTTCACTGCATAAAAATAAAGCTAATTTGTTTAACTGATGCCTAGTTAGGAACATTTGATAAGTAGCAATAATTTTATTTCCCAACTAACTCTCAACTGCCAAATATCAAACCCTCAATCTGGAAATTTAATGACAGGAAGGAAGGAAAAAAAAAAAACACTGTCCATCAGTAATGTGTAGAGAGATTTTTTTTTTAACCCATTTTTTTCCCCTGCTAGAACTGAGCCTGTCTTAAGAATTGGGGAAGGCTAAACCAACTTCAGTTAACCCCACTGAATATTTAAGCCTACTGAACATCTCCGGGCTGTATCCCCTAGTGCTAAAATTATCCTGGCAAAGTTAATTTCCCAGCACCATCAAGGTACCTGACAGCGAAGACCTACAACTCTTCTGCAGAAATCAGTGGGCTTTGGGCCAAGAAAACAGAGGCAAGGAAAGGCAAAGACTGCTGGTTAACTAGTTAAGAACTGAGTACTCCTGCTTGTTATCCTTCTAGAGGTCATCAAAGCAACATTTTCTACCACCAAACTCCTTTCTTGAAAGGGTGAATGATGCAGAAGATTGGGACTAATGGAGACAACTTAAAACTCCTTTTCTAAAGCTCGTCTCCATGGCCTGCCGAGAGGTGCACCCACACCGGCTCTCTCTCGGAAGGCAGGTTTTAATGAACTCTAGGGCCATGCCTGGACCGGTCATTCCTAAGCACGACTTCCACGCACTTCACAAGACGGCCCCAGGCCACACAGTTAGCAACCTCTACAACACGTTCACTTGCCAAGCAGCTCTCTCTCATCTGGGGAAGAGTTTCCACGAAGCTGGTTCTAACAGGCCGGTAGAAAGCACACAGAGGAACCAGAGGCGTTTTCTTCTAACCCAAGGATGGCAGGCGCACATGCTCCATCCAGCCCAGTGCTGGCCAGAGGCTGCAGGCCAGGTGCTCTCTGCCTTCACCGGTGAATGGGTGGTTTTGTTTTGTTTGTAATATCTGCTTCTTCAGACCACCAGCAGTAACTTCCCGGTCTCCCAAACTGAAGTTGGGGAGTGAAGGGGCAAGTTCTCCCCTTTACACATTTCTAGCATCTGGGTGGCCACACTAACTTCTGAGGAGTACCCAGCCCCCACAGAGCCCGTAGGATCACATACATACACATATGCATCATGTCAAAAACCCCAAAAGGCACATCCCCAGGGTCCTGTGGTTTCTTGGCTGGAAGAATGAAGGCTTTATAACATCACAACCTTCCGTTGCAAGCCCACCACCTTCACCCTTTAAGCCAGGATTGCCAATTATAGCGCCCACCTCACCCCTCCCCCTTTGCTGGGATGCTGTGCAGCCCAGAGAGGGAATAGGGAGGAAGGGAAGCAGGGAGAAGGCCCTGCTTACATACTGAAAGTAAAGGGGCGGCAGGAGACTTGTCCTCTGTTCCTCCACTCTTCCCTTCCCACCCCACCCCCGTCTTCTCACGGAGCATCCCCCAACTAATTTTTTAAAAATGAAACTTAATAAGCCTCTTGCTTACCTTGGCTGTTTCTGCAACAAGTGCATGGGCAATCCGACAGGAAGACCAGTCTCCGCTTGGGGGGTAGAATGGGGGGCTAGCAGAGCTGATGGAGTAATTTCAATATTAATTTATGTCAGCCGCCTTCTCGCAGCGCTACTCACTTACAGTACTGCCCTCAGCCTGTAAACAAATATCGCTCCGCCAGGAAACATACTCCCCAGATGCAAGCCCCTCTCCCCAGCAAGGAACCTGGCCCCTCGCCCCCACCCCCCAGCAAACAGCGTGCTCCCCCACTCCCAGGAGGAAGCTCGGGGTTTCCAAAGCACCAAGCCACCACCTTCGCCACCACCCCAGCAAGAAACTTACTCGGTCCGTCTACGCCTCCACCCTCCCTCCAGGAAATCTACTCTCCATATGCATTCAGCCTCCCCGCAGGAAATCTGCTCCCCCCTCCCCCTTCTATATACATGCACCCCTCCCTCTTCTCCTCCCCACGCGCCCTCCCTGGCCAGAAACTTACTAGCAAGCAAGCGTGCAGGCTCTTCTGATCCTGGAAACTTATTCCCAGATATAGCGCCCGCCAGCCCCCTTTCCCGGCCCTGCTCTCCTTTCTGCCCTCCGCCGCAAGCAACTCCAAACTCTCCGCATCCAGCCACTCTCCCTCCCCGGTGGAAATTTGCAGCGACGGGCTGCGCGCGTGCATCCACCCTCCCCTTCAGGAAACTTACTCCCCATCTGCATGCACCGCCTCTCAGCCATCGCTTAGAGGGAAGGGGGTGTGCTGGGGAGACAGAAATACATATGTATCTCTCGCCCCTCCCCCGGCCGCAGCCCACTCGGGGCCGAACCGCGGTAACCTGGCCTTACCTTTTGCATTGCTCCCCACCCTCGCCCCCTCCCTTAGCCCTCCTTATCTTCTCTCCAGCACCCCCCTTTTTCACCCATTACCCACCCCTAGCAACCGTTCCCAAGCTCCTCTCGGCCTTTTTTTAAAATCCAGGATGCAAATTCCTCCCCTGTCAGCAAATCGACTGTCAAATTATTTTCTTGCAAAAGGAGAAAGGCGGGGTGGGGTGGGGGGGAGCAGAAGCAAAAAGGGGGGAGGCGGGGGGCGGGAGGGAGAGGGACAGAGGAGGGGAGAGATATCCCTCCGCAGAGCTGGGTCTGGCCGCGGGCGGGGAAGCAGGAAGTAAGGTGTCCAGCGCCGCGGCCGGCGGGTCCTCCGCCGCGGCCCCCGCCCGCGTCCCCTGTCCCCCGGGGCGCCGTGCTCCGGCGGGCGCGGGCCGCCGGGCGCATTGTTCGCAACCTTCTCGGCGGTGCAGTGCTGACTTTATTTGTGCGCTCTGCGTGTGCGTGAGGTTGCACCTTTTGTAGGCGTGAGAGTCTCTGGACAAGGATGGGACATGGGCCCAGTTGCGGCCCCGCGCGGGACCTGTCAGTCCCGGGGTGCAGCCGACTCTCCGGCTTGGCCGGAAAATCGAGGCCCGGGAGAAGGCAGCGTGGCCGGGAAGCTGCTGCCTTAGACCCGGACCTGTGCAGGATTGCTTCCTGCGTAGCCGTCCCGGTTATTGTAACGCGCGTTGCAATCTTAACGACTGGGTTAGGGGGTTTTGTTTATTTTTTGTGAGGGTTTGCATAGATGCCAAGGTCTGGGCGGGCTGGGTGTTGACGGTCTGCGCCTTCCCCCACCTCACCCGGGCCTCGGTGGGGCCGGGAGAGGGCCTGGGGCTCCGGGGAAGGGGGCTGGAGGTTCTCGAGGCGCGCGGCTCCATCCCTCCGCCCCGATGGGGGCGGGGAGGGGTGCTGCAGACGGCGCTGGAAATGCAGCTCTCAGGGGAGGGGGCTCCACTCCGCGGCGCAGCAGGCTGGGGGGGAGGTTGCCTAGGAGAGGGGCCGGGGCCGGCGGCGGAGGGGAGGGATCGCAGGGGAGGGGGCGCGGGTGCGGCCGCGGCGCTCGCCCCTCCTCGCGCGCCATGACTGTGGAACGTGGTGCCGGGGAGGAGGGACGGCCGCCGGGGGCCGCCCGGGGCTGCTCGGCATTGGTGCGGAAACCCGAGCCCCGAGTCGCTCCCTCGCGCTGTCTCCTCCTCCTCTTCTGCGGGGGAAACCGCTGCACCCAAACCGAGAGCAGCTGCGAGCAGGGGGCAGGGCGCGAGCTGAAAGGCGAGCCAAGGGTTCAAACCTCGGCGGCCCAGGGCAGGGGGCGAGAGCGAGACCCGGTCCCGCGAAGGACTGCAGCGGTTAAGTCCAGGTGCCAGGATCCTAGACGGTGACCCAGCATTTCTTTTCTGGTCCTAGGAAACGTAAGCCAAAGATAGTTCAGCCAAACAGAGTACCTCGCGCCGGGTTCGAGGTATCGATCTCTCCTAGGGTCCTCAAGACAGCGAGTATTTTTGCACGAGGGAAAGTTACACCATTCTTTTTTCAGTGTCGGGGAATCGTTGCGCCCTTCCCCCAAATCTCGCTCAGGATAAGTCAGCTTCTCCCGCTCTCCATGCCTTCGACACTGTGTCCCCCCCGCCCCACCCCCACTCGGGCTCTGGGTGTGGACAGGGCGGGGGAAGGCTATATGGGAGCTTAAAGCATGAGGTCATGGGCGGAGGAGGCTGAGGCCAAAAGCAGCCGAGGTTTTTGTGTTTTTTTGAGGGGTAACGGTTCTCCATCTTCAGCAGTGGGAAGTCTTCCTGCCTAATACTACCAATTCTAAGGCACCTGGACCAGAGAGTCCCCGAAAGAAGAGGGGGCTCTGTTCTATGTCGTTTAATCAGCATCTGGCTGGTACCCAGCCCTTTATGGAGACATTACACATAAGCAAAGAAAGCTGAGGGACAGCGCACAGTGTCGCCGGGACTGGGAAAGCTTCAGATGGCCGAACCCCTCTTTCCCCAGTCTTTGGTCATCTTCCAGCTGGACTGCTTGCTGCGACAGCTTCCCGGTCCCTCCGACAATTCTTTCCAAGCGACTAGAGTCTTTCTAACACTCGTGATTACACTCCTTTAAACCAAGCAAGCCCCTCCCCACTGCCCTTAGAATAAAGCACGTCCCGAAGCCCCTGCGTGTTTCGCCTCTGCAGACCTCTCCACAGCTCTTCCTCGTTCACAGTATGCCCCGTCATGCTTTCTTTGTTCGAAGGGTGGGGTATCCTTACCCCCGCCCCTGCCACCTCTTGATAACTCCTGCTAGATCTTCAGGGTATGGCTCAACAATCCTGACCTCCAAGAAGCCTTCCTGAGAGTATACACGCTCACCTCTAACTCCCTTAGGGTGAAAAAGACCTACCCTAGACTTCCAGGCAGCCGGGCTGTCGCCAGAGCTGTCTCCAGTGGCGGCCCTTTTCCAAGCAGAGGAGCAACAGCCAAGCTTGAGCACCACCACCCAGAGGCCTGACCTCCTGAGAGGGAGTTGGCTGGGACAGAAAGAGCCTCCAGACGCCCTGTTTCCTCAAGACACCTGGGAAAAGCACGCACCGCCCAGAAACCTCAGCCCCTCCACCTCTACCCCAGCACACACCCACACAATTCGAGGAGAGGTCTTTTAATCTAAAGCTCCTCCCTGGGGCAGATAAGGAACCCGAGACTCAAGAAAGTAAGTAAATTGCCCAGGGTGAATGCAGAAATTTACATCCTGGTCTTTAGAGTCCCTAAACCTGAAGCTGCAGAGGATTTAAGATTTGGTTCTGGTTCTAAGGCCAAAGACACTTTGCCACCTTCAAAGCCACCCCCTCTGAGTTTATTGCCCAAAGAGAGGCAGTATGCCAGATGATTAGCCATGCAGACAGACTCTGACCTTGAGCTAGTTACTTAACCTCACTTGGTTTAGTTTCTTTGCCTGTAAAATGGGAATGATGGTACCTATAGTGTAGCATTATTGTAAGGTTTAAATGAATGATATTTTACAGTTACCTAGGCATTTTGTTGTTGTTGTTGTTGTTGATAGTGGTGTTATGTGCCCTCTTCCCCTCCCCAAGCACTCTAGAAAATTAGGTCCTGAGTCTTAAATGATTTAAGCAAAAATTATCTAGCACCTAAAATACTGGGAAAGCATGGGCAGATACACAGAGTATAAACAAAGACCTAATTTAGTCAATAAAATCCATGGTCAACTCTTGAAGGCAATCCATAAATCAAGTAATCCAAATCCATGAAGATTTTAGAATTAGTGTTAGAGGAGGGATGACTGATATTAAAATATTATCTTGGATCTTTGAAATCAAAGTCAGCCTGCAGTAGTCCCCATCCTGATGCAAAATCTGCCCTGTGTGAATGAGAACCTCCCCAGGCTGCACAAAAGGGGCGGGGATTATCATTATTGTCATTAGATCTTAATTTTCTCATTCTTGGCACTCATCCCCCCATGATAAAAGACTTTTTAAATGTAACCCTTTAAAAAAAAAAAAGGCTTAATGCCTATTTTTTTTATAAGTAAAACAGCAAGAAGTTTTCCTTCCACCTTAACTACCACTCATCCTGTTCTCATTCTGTGGAGTCAACCAAGGTTAGCAGTCAAAAGACATGTTTAACTGTTTTCCAGATGAGGCTTACTAAAAGATTATGTCCAAAGGTCTTTTCTCCATCATAGTCAGAACCATCATCCTACTCCTGTCCCACCTCTATCATTCTCACCCTTTCAGCCTCAACCCTAAACAGGTTCTATTAACAATGATAAACCACCTGATTAATGACAAAAGCAAATGATTAAGTACTTTATGGTTCTTTCTCCTCCTCTACACTAATAATCACTAACAATCACTAACATTTATTGATAACTTTGTATGTTGCAGGCACTGTGCTAAATACTAGATGTGCATTATCTTGTTTAATTTGCCCCATATCACCACTGTTATTCTTACTTTACAAATACAGACAGAAATGGAGGCTCGGAACCAGACGTGGTAGTACACACTTATAATCCTAGCTATTCAGTAGGCTGAGGTAAGAGGATTGTGAGTTTGAGGCCAGTCTGGGAACTTAGGGAAACCGTATCTCAAATTTTTGAAAGCTTAAAGAAGGACTGGGGGCTGGAATTGTGGTTCAGTGGTAGAGCACTCGCCTAGCATGTGCGGGGCCCTGGGTTCGATCCTCAGCATCACATAAAAATAAATAAATGGAATAAAGGTATTGTGTCCAACTACAACTTAAAAAATAATTTATTTTTTTTTTTAAAAAAAGAAGGACTGGGAGTGTAGCTCAGTAGCAGAGCGTTTGCCCAGCATGTTCAAGGCCCTGGGTTCAATCCCCAAAACTACAAAAAAGGAAAGAAAAAAAATAGATGATCAGAAAGATTACATAACTTGTACCAATTTACAACTAGATCACCCTAAACCCATGTCCTCTCTCTTAAATACTCCTCTCTGCAACACAGGAAAAAGTCTAGTAGGCTGCAACAAAAGGAGTGCTACTTGCAAATCGAATAGACTAAAAATCAGATGCACTGAATGAAATTCTCAACTCTGCGCTTACCAGTTGTGCCCCAGCTGTCCAGAACTGTGATTCTGAGTTCCTTCATTTGTAGCTTGGATAGAAACACTCTCTGGCGCCTCTCACTTTTCAGACTGTCCAGAATCCTTGACTTTTCCAAGAGAGGGACCTTTCTGAGACCACACTGCTTATTTGCCTATCTCGGGAACAGATCAGAACTCAATGGAAATGGAAATGTATCCAATTCACAGCCAAAGGAAATGTTTTAGGCCCAGTGAGCATTTGGGTATTGTTTTAGGGGTAGTTTTTCCTGTCCTCTGGATTCAAACAGCTGGAGTTATTTTTATATATGACCCCAATTTGAAATGCAAGTTTATCTTTTTTGAAATAAAATTTGCTTGGAGGGGGTGGGCAATACATATATGGTGTGTGTGTGAGAGAGAGAGAGAGATAAAGACAAAGAGACTGAGAGATGTGGTGCTGGGAATGGAACCCAGGGCCTCACACATGCTAGACCAGCACGCTACCACTGAGCTACACCTAGCCCTGGCC